GCAGAATGCTACCTCTTGAACTGAAAATGCTCCTGGAAGCTGGGTATCTTGTTGTAAATTCCATGACTTATATCAGGACTCCTGGCTTGGACCAAAAGGAAGCACAGAGAAGGAGTGAAGGCAGTGAAGGCAGATAGTACCAGTAACTATTCTGTGAACAGGGTCTCAGATCTTTTCCTCTCCCAGTCTTTACAAAATTAACTTCTCCCTTCCCTCCAGCCCTTTGCTCAGATTGGTTTGCCTTTCTATTTTATTATCATCAGCAAATAGTAACAGAGTATGTAATGTGTGATATTTGCAGAAGGAATTAATGAAATATAAAATGTAATCTTTGACTTTTATATAATTTAATTCTTTCATTCATTCCACAAACTATTATTGAGAACCTACACTGTACTAAAATACAAAAGTGAATAAAGCATTACTTCTTGCCTTAAAGAATCCACACTTTATTTGGGAAGACAGGATCAATACACAGGAAAAAAATGTCAAAAAAGAGGGATATAGGATGAGTTAGATGATGGGATACAAATTCATGAGTTCTGCATGTTCACAGACATTACTCTTCCCAGAACTCCAAAGAGAATCACATGCTTGTGACCCCCACCCCCTAAAACCCCCTTCCTGTGTAGTAAAGGAAGAAAGAAAGCCTCATGGGCTGGGGGAGGAAGGGCAGCTTTCTGGGGAGGGGCCAAGGAGCCTGCTGCTGGAGTAGCTTCAGAATGGGAAGGCAATTGATGAACGAGGGTTTTAATAAATATTACTATAAACTATGCGTTGGGAGACCTTTTCGTGCCCTTTGGGAGATGTGAATAGAGAATAAAATTCCTTTTTAATTACTTTGGGCAGTTGAAATTTTCCTTCATGAAATCAGCCCCACTCTGAGACAGCACTTTCTGGTTACAAGTAATATGGATAATGCTGAACCAGTATTGTTGGGGAAGACTTCACCGTGGAGATGAACTGGAGCTTGATTTCTGAGACTGGGTGGGAAAAGGCAGGCAGACAGAGAGTAAAGGGAGGGCATCACATGGTGGAGGGTGGGGGATGGTGTGTGGAAATAACAGTGGATGTGCTGCGGAGGAAAAGCTGAGCGCATCTCCAGAGGCCAGTGGAGAGGCCCAGGTAAAGGAGAGTTTAGGGGTACCAACCCAGCCCATTGGCTTCTCTGGGAGCCCTCTTCCAACCACCAAGACTTTCTCCTGGATGTCCTATAATTTGTTGTCTACATGCAGTGAGGGCGTGCCCCTTCTTGTCTCCCTGACAGTGTTATCCCTTCGCACTGAAATCCTACTGCTCTCTTTGTCTCTCTAAGTTTCTCCACCTGTGGTCCTCGCTAGAAGAGTGCTTATACCCTGTTTTCACTCATGTGAGGCTTTGGATCTCACATCTAGGGCTGTTTCCTAGATGGCAAAGACAGGATTGTAGTCACACAAATGAATAAAATATTTATGGAGACCTGAGAGGCTAGTTTAATCACACACATCTCTTTCCTCTTGTGTATTAATTAATCCTGATAAATCCCCCTACCTCTTTTTTTCCCCTGCTGCATCCAAATTGCTCAAAAAGACATGTTTGTGGAAGACAGGCTGAGGGAGTGTTTCAGGAGCATCTTCAAAGAATAAACCCTAAATATTTCGGATGGAGCAATCAGTGTAGCAGATCCATCATCAGAGAATACAATTTTGTTGACTTCATGAGAAACACCCATTTTTATGGACTTGAAAACTACCCTGAACTCACTCTGGTCTCTGTGACCTCCTCTTTTATGACACATATCCAGCAGGATGGGTCATGTTGGAATCCATCAAAATGAAACCATCAGTACCTACTAAGTCATAACCAAATTGTCTGGATATTTTATAGTAGAGGATGAGGAAAAAATGGGAAGAGGTGTCAGAATTATGACCCCCTTTTAATGCTCTGGCAACTCCAATAAATCCTTTCCTGTAGTTAAACAATGAGTTTTACCCTGAAGATGAATCCACCACTGGGATGGGTTGCTGCCGATGAATCCTAGAGAACTTTACCTCTGTCTGTTCTTCTCATTTACCTTCACCAAATTTCCCATTATTTCCAGAGTAGCTTCTGATTTGGTTTTCTTACTCTGATTCAGCTTTTCTATAATGAATAAGATTTAACAATATTCAAAATGCAACATAATTTCTGACATCCATTTCCAGGGGAAAAAAGAATCTGATTTAGGAGGCAATGTCTTAGTCTGTTTGGGCTGCTATAATAAAATAGTACAGCCTGGGTAGCTTATAAACAATGGAAATTTGTTTCTCACAGTTCTGGGGGCTGGGAAGTTCAAGATCAAGGCACCAGGGTGGTCTCATTTGGTAAAGGCCCTCCTCACTGTGGTGCGTCCTCACTGTGTCCTCACATGGTGGAAGGGACTGGGGATTTCTCTGGAGTCTCTAATAAGGCACTAATCCCATTGATGAGTATTCCACCTTTGTGACTTAAGAACCTCCCAAAGGCCCTATCTCTTAATAGCATCATCTTTGGGGGTTAGGATTTCAACATGAATTTTGACGGGTCACAATCATTCACCATAAAAGGTGGGAAGACCTTGAGGGAGATAGTAACATCATCCCTAACTTGAAGATTCTCCAAGTATGGTGAAAGAGATCTGGGGGTCTGGGAAAGTACAGTGTGCATGAAATAGGACATCTATTTCAGTGTATGTGCAGGCACGTGATGGGAAAAGCAGCAGAAGAGAGAAGCAGGGGCCAGAGCACAGAGGCCATTTTATGCCAGCAAATCTCAAGCTAGGCTCCTCATGAAAATCTCCTGAGGAGATTTTAAGAAATACCATCGTCAAGTCCTATTTCAGACTGATGTATTTTTAATAATTTATGTGTTAGAGTGAATTAATTCAATTAGATTGCTTTCCCTCTAAACTTTAGTTGAGACCACTGAATAAATAGAAGTTTTGTTTGGGGGAGTTAGTTAACCTTAAAGCATGGATTAATTAATTAATTAAGCAACCATTTGTGGGTTGTTTTTCTAGGCACTATGCAAGAATGAGGAGATAGGGAAGTCTTTGCCCCATACTTGGAAGAGCTTACCCACCAGTAGAGAAGATATGCAAATAAACAGATATTTTGCAATAATGCTCTTGTCTCAAAAATTTTCTAGTCAGCCCTGGTTCCTTCTAGCATATTGTGCTTTACATTCATATTTCTGGCTCTTACAAAGTCTAGAGGGGGCCTGGAGATATTCTGGAAGGGTGGTTTTTTTCTTTTCTTCTTCTTCTTTTTTTTTTTTTTAAAGGTTTTATTTATTTGACAGAGAGAAAGACAGCCAGAGAGGGAACACAAGCAGGGGGAGTGGGAGAGGGAGAAGCAGGCTTCCCGTGGAGCAGGGAGCCTGATGTGGGGCTCGATCCCAGGACTCTGGGATCATGACCTGAGCCGAAGGCAGAGGCTTAACGACTGAGCCACCCAGGCGCCCCCTTCTTCTTTTTTTTAATGGTTTCTCCTAACAGCTGATGTGGGCTTGTCAGATGCATTTAAAGGGCTGAAGTAGAAGGGGTACTAATTGCCACATGTATAACATTGTTTCTTGGGGAAAATGCATTCTGTATTAGGAAAGGAAATAACGTGGAAACCAAAGACATTTAGATTCCCATAAAAATGGGGGCATTATTGATGCTTTTCTTTTGCTTCATCAAGTAAATGGAATGACAAGGTACCTACGTGATATGATTACTTGAATTTTCTGCTTATAGGCAAGGAAAGGAAAACTCTTATTATTTCAATTACCATTGGAAATATTTCAAGAATATGTTCATCTGCTTTTCTGCGTTGGTGATAGAGTATAGTGGATATAATGGAATATTTGTTTCCCTGAAATCCAATAGCCGTGCATTTTGATGTTTTAATCACATATCTCCTTGTGTTATTTAATAATTATATCACTATGAATCTTACCTCCCTGTTATGGTCTGAATATTTGTGTCCTCCCCAAATTCCTATGTTGAAATCCTAACCCCCAAGGGTAATGGAATTAGGAAGTGATTTGGGTGGTGATTAGGTCTTAAGGCCAGAGCCTGCATGATTGAAATCAGCACCCTTATAAGAAGAGACCCCAGATAGCTAACTCTTCTCTTCCACCATATGAGGACACAACAAGAAAGCACTGTCTGTATACCAGAAAGCAGGCTCTCACCAGACACTGAATCTGTTGGTGCCTTGATCTTGAACTTCCCAGCCTCTAGAACCATGAGAAATAAATGTTTCTTGTTTATCAGCCATCCAGTTTATGGTCTTTTTGTTACAGAAGCCTGAATAAACCAGACACTCTTCAAAGAGTCTATGAATTCCTTGGGAAGCAGAAGATATTTCCTATATTTTGAGCTTCCCTATAAAACCAAGCTCATTGGCTGGGGCATTAGCAGTGACCCATGAAGAGTTGTGAATGGGACACCAATCCTTTAGCTGTTATGGTCTGAATGTTTGTGTCCCTTCCCAAATTCATGTGGAAATTCTAACCCCCAAAGGTAATGGTGTTAGTAGGTGTGGCCTTTGTTGGTGATTAGGTCTAAGGTAGAGCCCTCATGAATGGGATTAGTGCTCTTAGGGAAGAAGTCCCACAGAGCTCCCAGACCCTTTCACCATTAGGGATGCAGTGAGAAGTGGGACTCTGAAGAGGGCCCTCACCTGACCATGCTGGCATCATGATCCTGGACTTCCAGTCCCCAGAACTGTGAGAAATAAATTTCTGCTGCTTATAAGCCACCCAGTCTGTGGTGTTTTGTTACAGCAGCCTGAACAGACTAAGACAGCTGCTTTGGTGTCCTGACACGTAAGGTGCCATGGATGCTTGCCTGGTAAGGGATGGTGATCAGTGAAAGAGGGTAAATGCATTAGCATTAAGAATAGACATGACAACACATGGAAAATAGAAGTTTCTTGTCAAGGCTTGGGGCAAGCCTGTTAAAAGTAAATTTGTTAACTGATTAAATGTGTGTTTTTCTCCCATTTGAATCCTAGACTCTGAAGTCTGAAGAGAAAAGAGCACCTGAGGGCTCCTTAATTTGATGGATGCATATTGGTGACCTTCGGAGACCAGTCATCCTGCAGTTATGACCCACCTGGGAGGCCCCACTTCCTGTCTGGGCAGAAATTCACCTCCTTCAGCTCCCTCTCTGCCTGATGAGCACCAATGCTGGCAAAGGTTGGATTTAGCAGCTAAGTCTAGACTTGGGAATGTATAGAGAGGAGATTTCTTGTGAAAGAAATGTTTTTTAATGTAGACTCAGTATTTTAGTTAAGCATTGTTTTTCTGCACAAGGGAGACAGGACTCATGTAACTGACATCCACAAGTGTCATGATTGTATAACTAATCCAGGCCAGAGGCCACATTGTGCAAGGCATCGGAAATATAAGCTGTGTGTGTACTCACAGGCACACACACTCCCTACATGCACATTTTCTCTCTAGGATGAGCATGGGTAAGTTATCTTTGGGCCATAGGCAAGAGTCACACTGTGGTCTGGCCTTCACTAATGTGTTTGTCTTTCCTTGAAAGAAGGCTTTAGCTGTTCGATTTAGTTTTGTTTATTTGAGATGTTGTGTTCGAACTTTGCCTGCATGCCTAGAGGCTGGAAGGCCATGGAAAATGTGTGTATCTAACTAAATCCAAAAGCACAATCACATCAACTCAGACATGGACACCTAGGGACCATCTTTTACTCCAAGAAACAGCTTAGGTTGGAAAAGAAAGCTCTTACCAACCTTGAAAGGATGAAAAGAAAAAAAAATGTTTAGAAGTGAAAATTCATAAAACAAGATCTTTTATCCAAAAACATAACAAAATTTCCAGCAGGATATTATGAGCGAATTGACTTTTACAGTAGTTTCATTTCAAATGATTGTGTGTCCTTTATAAAGTTGCCTCCTCGTTTTAGTTTTTGTTAAATCAAGAATATGGTTTGTCCCCATATGATTTAAGTAATATTGAGTGGAACTTTCAGTTGTATTCAATGACAATGTATTGTGGCAAAAGGAGAGAGGACATCAAGAAAATCTGTTGGTAACACTCAGAAGGGTTAGCTCTTCTGTCTCAACAACAGTGCTTAAAGAAAAATGTTCCAAATTAATAATAATAAAAAAGATGAGTTCTCTCCTAAACTATTTCAGATAGTTTATAGTTTATGAGAATACAGATTACTTTGCAAAGGGATTGTCTAGTGATTGGAGTTCAAAGCTAAAATAGAAAGAAAAATAGGTTTGGGGTTTCATAATGTAGGAAATATGGGAGAGATTAAATCTGGTTTTTGAGAGGTCAAGCAAATCACCATAATTAGTATACAAAAACAACCAGTGATAAAATATGTTTTATGCGTTTGGTACAATGCCCAGCAAACCAAATGTGCTTAATAAATTTTAAATGGTATCAACAGTATTGCCTTGTTGCTGATAGAGAGTTCATGTCATCACTTTGGGAGGCTTTATTAACCCTTAAAATATCAAGGTTACTTGACTGAGTGAAGAGGGGAGAGGGTTCACCGGAAAACAGCAGGGGTGGAAATGATGCTTCTCCCCACCATGAACAGATGTCTTACATCTCACTGGGATAATCGATTCTAATATTATTAAGCACAAGCCTAATAAATCTGCCCCTGTATTTTTCTGATACAAATACAATATACCTACCACTGCTCAATATCTTTCATATGTGAGGTAGTAAAACTGATCCAATATGAAATCTTGTACTTTACATGTAAATTGGATTGCTATGGGCCATTAGACTCTTTACATAAACAATATATTTTGTTTAAAAGAAAACTGTGCTCACTTTCACATTCTGAAAGTTCATAATGTGCAAAACCACATTAGCAGAGTAAATGGTGTCGGGAAGGAATCTGGCATGGCCAACAGAGGCATAAAGGAGAATGGGGACTTCACTTCCAGCAAAGCGACTTTTCTCTCATGGGCGGTTTTAACGAGATGGCTGCCAACAGGTGAAAGCTCACTAGTGTCAGGTGTAATTAAAAACTTTAATTTCAGAATCATTCTCTAAAGCATTCACAATGTACCATGCCCAGGGGCTGAGGCGGAGAAGCCTAACCAAGGCAGCAGATTATTTGCTTCTCCAAGAAGACAGCCATTGCTGCACAGAAAGGTGATGACATTTTGAGGCCAAGGCTGGCAATATAATATGATGTCACAGTATCCATTTTTGATATTAGATAATGGCCTTCATTCTGATAGGTCAGTATCTCATTCCTTGGCTTATTTATCTCCATTATGTACAAAATCTGCAAACCAGAACTCACAGACAAACCTTACCCAAGTGTACTGCAGTATCTGCATCTTGGCCTCCTTTGCAGCACTGATCCTTGTGCTCTGCCACAGCTATCAGAGTAATGGCTTTTTCCCCTTTTTATCTGGGTTGGCTTTATTCCCAGATTCCAAATGAAAGAGAGAGCATTTTACTTGACCACCCCATTCCAACCGTTAAATACTGTGCCTTCAGGCTCTGATGCTCTAATGGTCGATTAAAGTTGATAACAGTCTGTTCAATTTCCATTTTTTTAACATTCAGCCTGCTGAAATTGTAATATTGTGAAAATCTGAAGTCTACAGGACCTGCGTGAGAATCTCTCTGGATGTCAACACATAATAATAAACAAGGGGGGAAAAGTAATGGCAACAGGCCTCAGCATTTGCAGAATTTGGGTTAGCTCTGTAGCCTGGCCAGTTTGTGTAGGGTAGGAGTGGGCAATAGATCAACTAGTCTATCAAACAGGATATAGAGTAGAGCCACTCACGGGGTAGTTTATGACTGCAGAAGGCAAACATCCTCAAAAATTCTTTAAGTCAACAAACAGCATATACATTCTGTTCTTACCTGCCTCACCCAGTGCTCTGTCCTTGGTCTTATTAAAAGCCTTCCTTAACTTGTTTGGCAGACACATAACTCATAGCTCCCGGACTTTGTTGTTAGGGCTGAAGGGTCACAAAGGTACAAATCTAATTGAAGTATTTTCAGAAATCTGATTTCTCAGGGGATCAGAATAAAATAGTTTGAAATAATCTCTTTTTCAAACCAACATTGGTCTTTCTTGAGCCTTAGAAAAACAGAACTAAAACCAGGAATGCTGAGATGGATTTGTAGACGAGTAGAATTTTGAGATAAGTGGTTTGATACCAGTCTTCTAAGTGATGGAAAAAAATAATGGTACCATGAGACATACTACCTGTATGTATAATATGCAGACTCTATTCTCTTCCTTTCGCTGGACTAGTCAGCTTGCCTTTCTTAGCCACGCTTGGATTCTTTTCTGAACGTGAATGATCTCCCAGAGTTCTCATCTTTGGTAGGCTGGTCTCATTTTTTCCCATCAAATACTCAACTACAGGATGCTTTTTTCATGTTGTGGAAGCAATTGCCCATTTTCTGAGTCTTTGCTCTAAAAGTAAGTGCAGATGAGTCCTTCAGACTCTGAGAAATTTATCACTGTTGATAAATATGACATTTCTGGGAATGTGGTTTCAGTCTCCTTTTTCCGAGGCAGGTCGAAATGAAGACTAGAGAACTTGAAGGGTCAAATATTTAGTTCTCCTTATTATTACCACATCATAGAGCCTATGCTTACTTTTTTAGACAAATAATCTTTTTGTCTAAAAATATGGGTATTATTGCTTAAGAAAAGGTTTCACTCTAACCCCATCCAACAATTTGAACACTAACTCTTGTCCATTTTATCTCTGTCATGGGAGGGGTCTTCTCTTTAAGGAAAGGGAATATTCATAGTTTTCTCACATACAACAACATAAAAGAAGAACATGGAGAAATTTAACATAAAAAATTGATGTGACTCCAAAATTTTTTTTCTCCTGTTTTGGACATGGTGGCATAGAGTCTGCCCCATAACACATATGCAATGATGACATTTATCTTTATTCTTTTTCTTCATATTACTGAGGATGTGGGTGCTTAATGTTTATTGCCGAAATGCTTTTGAATTCTGGAAAGCCCATACTTCAGACAATGTGTGTGAATTAAAGGGGAGAGAAATACTCCATCTTCCAGGACTATCTTCATTTCCCAGAATTAGCTATTGATGTTTGCCTGGTAGAAGCTTTCGGCCACAAACTCTGCCTCAAAAATCCATTTCTATTTACATGTTTGCCCCAGTCTCATCAATTTTCTTCTGCCTTTCCTGAAACCCATGAAAAATCCTTGCATGTTGGATGATGATGATGATGAGTAGGAGGAGGAGGAGGAGGATTAGAAGAAGGAGGAGGCTGGCAGCAACTAACAAAGCACCTTATCCTGTGCGAGATAGTTTTCCAAGTGCTTTACAAGGGTTAACTTATTTAATCCTTATGACAGTGTTGCAGGGTAGGTACTATTATCCTCCTCATTAAACATGAAAGAGCTGAGGAATGGATTGGTTGCATAACTTACCCAAGGTCACATAGCTAATAAGTGGTCAGGTGAGAGTTGAACCCAGGACGTATGACTTGAGAGTCTTCTGCTTAATTTATCCTGTGGGTGGATATATTCATTTGCTTAGGTTGCCGTAACAAAATACATAGACTGGGTGGCTTAAACAACAGAAGTTAATTTTTTTTTTAGGCAAGAGTTCCAAGATTAAGGTGTGAGCAGGTTTGGTTTCTTTGGAGGCCTCTGTCCTTGGCTTGTGGACTGCCACCTTCTTGCCGTGTCCTCACATGGTTTTTCTTCTATGCATGCACATCCCTGGTATCTCATTGTCCAATTTTGCTTCTCTTATAATAGCACCAGTCAGATTGGGTCAGGGTCCACCCAAATGGTCTCTTCATTTTAGCTTAATCACCTCTTTAAAGGACGTATTTCTAATTCAGGCCATAACAGTGAACTTTTGAAGATCTGTTTCCCTGGCCTTTGACTCTTCTGCATTGCTTCATCATTGGGTATCTCTTTTCCTCCCTCCCTACCTGATGTTCTACTCTGCATGCCCAGACCTCCTGTCCAAAGAGGCTCATACCCTGCAGACTTTGTCCCACCTGAAAACCATACTGAGTCTCAATTAAGAATCCATTTCCACTGTCTGTGATGTCTGGAATGAGGTATTGCCTAGAGCCTGCTGTTGACATTACTGAGGGATGCTTGGGTATTCTGTGTGCCTCTGAGTTGTAGCATTTCCTCAGTTTCTTTTGGGCGTGCTCAGTTGTGAGGTCTT